CAAAATTAACGACTTATTTCTCAAGTGAATTAGCCTCAGGGTTTCAAATTAAATTCCCTGCATACGCATGGTACATTCACCAATTTCATTTTGAGGCCCAATGCCCTTTGCCAAATTCATCCATTTGAAAGTCCAATTCCATATGTTTGTATAATATATGAACTATCCCCCACTTATTCAAAGTTATATAAATTCACAATTTCAAACTAATAATATTTAGATACATTTCGATTTGAATCTAATGATAGTGTAATTTCACAAGGTATCATCGAAATTTCAAGTAACATAGTAGCTTTGAACTAATTATTCCTTGTGATCATATATATACCAGTAAAACCCACACAAAAGTGGTTATGGGAAACAACGCATGTCATCGGGTTGTTGAAATTAGTACAGTCAGATTGAAACTTTTGGATGGAACAATTAGAACACTTGGCCAGGTTCCACATGTTCTAGATTTGAAGGAGAATCTCACATCTTTGTCAATCATTGATTCAAAAGATTATGAGTTCTTTGGTGGAGGTAGAGTTTTGAAGGTTTGTAAGACTGCCCAAGTTATACTGGAGGGACAGAAAATGTCTCAATTATACATTTTGTAGAGTCGTGCAGAATTTGAAAGAGTCAATCAGCACAGGTTCAGTACTGTGGTGGACATTCAGTTTGATACTATACCTTTAGGAGCTCATAAATGGTCAAATTTGAAAAATACAGTTCAGTGGAGTTTTGAAAACATGGATAATACCGCTTTGCCACCTTCACCTGCGGTGCATTTTCATTCAGTTGCTAAAGTTAGACTCAGTGGAACAAGTTATGTAGATATTGATTTTGTTGAGCATGCTTTAAGTGAAGAAAAAAGTGTTTAATCTAGCAATGAACCTTCATTATAAGCATTTGGTAATGATTCTACTTTGAGGTGTGTTATATATCATTTTCGTTAATTCAAAATCATTGTGATTTTTTGGAATTTGATGTAATTCTGTAGAGTAGTGCTTGGATTCATTGGAAGATGTGAAGTATTTTGTATTTGGTTGGAGAATTTTTTTTTTTTAATTGTTGAAAAAACCAGTTCATTTTTTGGTGGAATTCGTGTCAAGGTGGAGATTGTTAGAATTTGGGTGTGACCCGAATTCTTTATTTGAAGTATTGAAAAATTCTAATTGCCGTGAACATCAAGAAGAATTCAAGTTTGGAATGCTATTGGAGTCATATATCAAGTTGAATTTCTATTTTGGAAGCCCATTGGGAGTTTGAAATTGATATTAGACTTGAAAAAGAGTTACAGAATGGAGAAAAACACATTGGAAGCATGTTTTGGAATATTAATCCGAAATCTAGCGCCTGAATGTTGCTACAGTAGCGCCTAGGCGCTGCTACAGTACCTGATTGCGATTTTTTCTCTCATACTTCGTTTTGAACTCAATTTTTTGGCATCCTACTTCATCAACAACTATACTAAAAGGGTTTGGACGTCCCCTATAATATATTAGGCTCTTCTATACAACTTTTGGATAACAATTACGTGTGAGAAAATATATTACTAGAATTATATGATCTATTGTAATTCTATCTTCTCCATTATTTTTGAATCAATAAAATCTCTTAATTCACCATATTCTTGTCTTCTTTTATTATTTTGTTTGATCATATACTTCATTATTATTTATCATATAAGTTCAACATCTCAATCCGATGATTGACGTCGCAACAAGTGGTATCAATCATGACAAAATGATTATTGCTTAATATGATATTTATTATATTATAGATTATGTTGAAACTAGAAAACCACATCAAATGTGATTTGGAAAAGTAGGTTAGCAGGAGGAAAAAGTAAATTAAATTACGTTACCTGACGTGGTCCACTTGACTAGTTGCATTATTGCATAACAGCAGATCCCCCTCCAATAGGGGTCGCCTTTGACCCGGGATTTAATCCCGAGACAACCAGTTTTGTCCATAAAATAAATCAAATATTGGCAAGGCAACATCCTCGTTTCATATATATATTCTGTTTTTCTGACCTAAGAGCAGCTAATGGATTCTCAAGGTGCCACACTCCCTCCTCATGTACTCATTTTTCCGGTGCCAATTCAGGGCCATGTGAAGTCCATGCTCAATCTAGCCGAACTCCTCTGTCTTTCTGGCCTTGACATTACATTCATGGTCTCTGATTTCAGCCACAACCGCCTCCTCAAGCACACCACAGTCGTTTCGCGTTTCAAGCAGTACCCTGGGTTCCGTTTCCAGTCCATCACCGATGGGCTTCCTGATGACCATTCTCGAGCTGGCCAGGAAGTCATGGATCTCCTGCCTTCTACCAAAAACATAACGGCACCACTATTTAAGCAGATGATGGTTGAGAAGAACTTATTCGCCTCTGAAACCCGAAGGCCAGTTACTTGCATCATAGCTGACGGGTCCCTGCCGTTTGTCGGTGATTTTGCTTTAGAGAAAGGGATTCCCCTCATATATTTTCGTACTATTAGTGCTTGCTCCTTTTGGGCTTATTTTTGTATACCTGAACTCATTGAAGCCGGTGAAATTTCCGTTGAAGGTGTCCACTCTCTTTCCTGATATCTACTCAACCAATCTGTTTAAATTACTCAAAAGAGAGGCGTATTTAGCCCCTGTTACACCCTCATTTTCTATAATAAATTTTGTGAAAAAGTAATTTTTTAAATAAAATATGGAAAGAAAATTTATTTTT